TAATGTTTGCCCTCCTCCAGTCTTCCGGGACCACCCCAGAACTGAGCGACTTCATGAACAGCAGATGTAGGGGTTCACAAAGAACTCTGGCACATTCCTTAAGGACCATCGGGTGAACGCCGTCCGGACCAGGAGAAGATGACGTCTTGAGAGCTGCCAAAGCACCCTCAACTTCACCAACTGTCAGTTCGATGTGCTCCAAACTGGGACGAGTAGGGCCTGTCACATTGGGAGTTCTGCAATCTGTCACCCTGGTGAACATCTTCTCAAATTCTCTGTTCATTACCTCGCACGTCTCGGTCAAGGTCCTGGTCATTTCTCCATTTGTCTTCTTAACATATGTGATGTCCTCTTTGATACATGTCTGACTTCTGGCATAGGCGTAGAAGGCTCTTGGGTTCTCCCGCACCTCTTTGGCTAGTTTGTGCTCAAACTCATACTTGGCCCTTCGCACCGCTGATGTCACCAGGTTTCTTGCTCGTTTGTATGAATGCATTGCCTTCTGAGTCCCTTTCTTCCTATACTTTTTCCATGCTGTTTCTTTCTTCTCGATTAGATGCAGTACTTCCCTTGTCATCCACTTCTTCTTGTTTTTCCACCTCTCCTCTTGACGCATAGGGACTGTTTTACTCACAACTTCATTGTAATGGCTCAGAAAAACAGCCCAGGAGTCGTCAACGTTCTTGCCAGAGAACTGTTGGCTCCAGGGATGTGAACTAAACAATTGTCTGGCAGTATCATAGTCACCTCTGAAGAATACTCTCCTCCTCCTTGGTCGAACCATACTTCTATCGTTCTCGATGAGCATTTTAAATGTCAATACACAGTGATCGCTTTTGCCAATGGGGGCCTGATACTGAATGCCTTCTATTTCAAGTGGATGCTTAGTTAGTATCAAGTCTAGGAGTGAGGGTTCATCCAAGCCCCTTGACCGTGTGAAGTCCCTCACATGTTGGTACAGGAAACCATCCTGGCAAGCATCATAGAATCTCGCCTGATCACTATCCTGAGATCCGTCAACAGAATCTGCTTCCCAATTTATCCCTCTGTAATTAAAATCACCACATACCAGGAGCTGGTCTGATTTGAAATCACATACTTGGGTGATGAACTGACACAGCTTGTCATTGTTATCATGAGAGGCGTTTGGGGGTCGGTAAACACATACCAGTAAGGCTGTCTTGTTCCCAGTTTTGAGTACACATGAGATTGTTTCAACATTTTCCCACCTTAAGCCAGGCGCCTCCCATGCAGTAAGATCTTTACGGACCATTAACAGCACACCTCCTCCTTTTCCAAATCCTCTATCTCGTCTGAACACACGGTAGTCATCACAGCCCTGGAATTGTGACACCTCATCCGACAGTTTGGTTTCAGTGATAAATACTATGTGTGGGCCTTCTCTGGTTATTACAGCACACAGTTCAGCACACTTGACTGCATTCATCCCATCAATGTTGGTATACACACATTTCAGGGCAGAAATATCCACAACTTGTGTAGTCTTGTTGGTTCTTACATTTTCTGAACTGTTCTGTTCCAGACTACTTCTCTTCTCTGGGTACGACACGCCCTTGAAATATCATGTGGGTGTCCTTACCTTTCTTCCGGAGTTCTTCCCTTAGTTTCCATTGTTTTTCTCGTTCTTCTTTTGAGAGATCCTTTGTCAGAAAGATGTTAGGGAATCCCTTTTCTCTCAGCAGGAACCTTTTCTTCAGTATCATCTCAGCATCTTGTTGATTGTTCATTTTGATCAGCAGCAGTCCTGGCTTTCTGTTCACTTCGTTGGGGTCAACAGCTCTGTATGTAAGTGATGTAGTAAAATTAAGTTGAGTGGGTACAAGTGCTTTTTTTCTGTAGAAGAAATATTTTATTTTATTTTTCCTATTCTTACATGCTGTCATTATCATAATTGCATCTATTAAGCTGGGTATTTCATTATATATTGAACTACCAAATTTATATTTGAAAAGTAGGTATTTAATCTGTAACCAACGAGCATCAGGCTGCTTGGTACTGCAGTAGTCGACCTTGTCAAATACCAAAATGTTTTGCTCAGAAATTGTTTGCTTTATTGGTTTCTTGAGTTTCACCTGATAAAGATACAAGGTTGGCTGATGTGGTGTTTAGTTATCCATATTAAAGTGCACTGTTTGTGACAAGATTATTGAAATTGTAACCTCAATAATGAAATTTCATGCTGTCAAAGCTGAGATGTTGCTTTGAGTTTGAAATCAGGCAAACATGGATTGAAGCTGTTTTCTAAAAAAAACTGCTTTTTAGTAACTTTCACCTCATAATTTGTATTTATTCAATCTCATAATGAGACCAAGGCTGAATCTCAATTATCTTTTGGGAAATGCTCTATACAGTACAAAACTGCATTGTTTTTATTTCTGTGGCATAATTTTGTACCTAATTCAAAGACTTTCTCTGGTGTAGTTTGTAAGATTGTTTGAACTTCTACTTTTTGACCTGTTTGGTGCCAATAAATCCTGCAATCTATTTGGCTTATTTACCCATCTCTCTTGCCATTCCTACATATTTCATGTCAGTCTATTGCATAAATATTGTGTAGTTAACATACTTCATGATATACAAATGAATGGTACCTATAGAGGCTCGATGTGGGTAAATGAGAACCAATGAACCTATATTTTTTACAATGGCATCAAGTCCTCTTGTCACGGCCATGGATATCACAGAGGATTTTGCTGAACTGCGCAAGAGAATCCTGTGCAAGGAAATGTTTTGCATGATTTAGCTTAACAGCATAAATTTTATTTTCCCAGTTGCATTGGAGCTCTGCTGGAGTTTGCTGATGACAGGATGCTGAAGGGCTGAAGCTGGTAGCTCTGGCAGGAGTCCAATGTCCACCAGCTCAAGATCCGACGCTGCTGCGTCGCCGCCGTGCGGCACTCCGCGGAGACGGGGACGGCGGTCATGATTGAAGACACCGCATTTCCCGGCTGGACTGTCCGGTCGGAGACTGGTAATCCCTCCGGTGAGCCGCACACCGTGGAGCTACTGCACCGCGCGTGTTCACCCGCAGCGCAGTGCCAGCAACGGTGCCGTGAGTGCGACATCTGCGTGCGTGCATATGACGCAGTGCGACTGTCACGACTCGCGGCTCAGTGTTAACTGTCAGTGTGACAGTGCGGCTCGCGCTCGTTTTAGCGAGGTGCTCTGTTGTATATAACCACCTTGATGGAGACCTATGTGCTGCCGCTTGAGTTTCAATGTACAGTTTTATGCATCAAACTAGCGTAAGTAAATGGCTGTCAGAGGTCAATTTGAAGCGCAATTAGTACCCATAACCGGTTGAGAGAGTCATGTGACTAGTCCCGATGAACGTACTGTTTCGATGTCGTCAGTCGTAGACTTTTGTAAACCATTCGTTTCGGAGTTCTGTGTTGTGTAGTTCGGGATCGGAGTTGTTTGAGCAGTTTGCTTTATGCGTCGTACGCTGACAGAACGCTGGTCGTACACAAGTCTGGTCATGTGTTTCCTTTCGCCCCTAATGGGTTACTGCGGCACCTATGCAGTTGGAATGTGTCTCGAGACACTAACTGGTCGCACTTGGTTGTGAAAATGACACTAGCTGGTCGCACTTGGTTTCAAGCTGCGCTTGGAAATGGTGCAATTTTATGTGCATTTTGCAATGCAATTTTATTGCCGTTACCGTATTGGTAGATATTGTCAGAAGTTGGCCATGTGATGCGTTGTCACTTGTCAGACGCTGTTGCCTTAGTACTGACAAATTGATGGGCCGCGTTTGTGTTCCTGTTAAGAAACGGATCTCAATATAAGGTGATTCAGAGGTAGGAACCTGAATGCATTCGTTCAGACTTTTCATTTTATGGGGATGCATTGTTTCATGAGCAAGAACGGGCATGGCTCTGGTTGAGCGAAGCGCAATCGATATTTGTTATCGTGTTTGTAGACTGTGGCCACATTTACATCACTATTCAACTCCACGCACCAGCATTATCTAAACTGCTTCAACCTATACTTCATTTCGCTAAATTTCGGGGTCGTCAACCTACGGTCCGTGGCCGTTACGCTTGGCCAATAACTAGATTTTATACATATTAACTGGTTCATATAATCACAGCATGATGCCCCGGACAATTTTTATTTGATTCACTGATAATGAATGTATCCCAGTACCGCACGAACTGAGACTGAAACTGGAGAACTCGCTTTTCGAGGTTCAAGTTCATTATCTTCAGATGTTATGGTATGGTAAGCATTTAATGTTCGAAGAAAATGGTCAGCGTTAGCACTTAGCAGTGCTAAGCGGGTATTATGAGCTTTCAGTTATTTCAATATTTGTTAAGGCTATTATTCTTGTGGTATCTACTGTCAATTCACGCGGAATATATAGTATTATCTTATACAATCGCGGTAACTACATATTTTCTGCCGGTTACTGTTATCATTGATTCGTAATATTTCGCTACGAGCGTGGCTCGATTCACATTGTTATTATATTGGCATTCAAGATTTAAGAGTAAACATCTTTTAATGCATTCCAATTCCATCAAAATGTCCATATGCAAAATAAGTTTCAAAAATTGCAGCAGTTTTGTGAATCAAAAATAGCTGTAAAATAGGCCTGTATAACTTCAACAACAGTGCGCCGAAAAACGTCTAAAAACGCGTAAACAAAAACTAAGATGTAAAAAAATAACTGCACCCGCCCATAGTAAGCGCACGGCAGCCTACGTCAGCAGCCTGCGTGCGTTTCTCGGCCTCTCATTGGTCAACAGCACAGTCCTATCTCTTCAACACAGTAGCCACCTAGTGGGCTGTTGGGGAAGCTGTTTTGACAGCAGCGGGCGAACAGAGCTCCGGTTTACATAGCATATTTGACGAGGCTCTAGCTCGTTAATTTGGCGATAATTTCGATGCAGTGGTCTTCAAATATTTAGAGGGGATCATTTTGTAAATTGTTCAGCACCATTGGCATCTTTTGCAACATCACGGACGGAGATATAAGCTTGCAACAAACCCTATGTAAACGCGTCTCTTGACGTGCTCCTCAACCTCAACCTACGTGACCTCAAAAGCTAAGTTTAGGGCCTTGGCTGGTTTATATATTGCCTTGGCTAAAGCTTATGCCGTGAAATCAAGAGCGAACTTGTAGCAGAAAATTGACATTTTTCCAGTAGTTTCAATTGGCATATAACTCGGCCAGAATTTTAATTCAAAATAACATTGGTTTTAGCTTTTTAATAGATAGTCAAAGTAGATTCAGATGATGAACCTGAGCTGAAGGTTCGGGTTGAGACAGTTGTGCTTACATCAATGAGTAAAATTCTATGTCAAGTTTCTCAACAGTAAGGGCGGTACACATGGAGGTCCCCGCTTCAAAAATTAGTTAATCCCTATAATATAGACATCATTCTATAGAGAAACTCATGTTTAGTAAGAATAATGTGGTTTCCAGTTATCTGATCGATAATTTTAAGACCAAAAGCTAACTAATCGTATTCTTACCACGATCTCGGTGGAGCCGCACGACGGTCTGTTGTCAACATGTCAATTGTCGTTCAATACCATTACGCAGAAATGTAGTATCTTCATAAAACCCAACACACTAGGGGGACTGTGGGAAACCGGGGTTTTGGGTGGGGGGGGGTACTATTTTTTATGAAAAAGTGATAGATATACACAAATAATTTTGGAATTTCGGTTCTGTTTCAATAGAAGAGAATTCGGTAATTTTCTTTTTCGGTAAAGCGCCTCACGAGATGCGCCAGATCTGTCGACGAATGATAGCGACTTTTCTGAAAAAGTCTTCAGAAATGTTTCGTTCGTAATTATTTTCGTTCGTGCATTTTCTTTATTTTCGTTTTTTGGTCCGTGCATTTTTTTGTCTCTACATATTTTCATTTTTCGTCCAACATTTCTTCGCCCGTACTGTACATGTTTTCGTCTGTGGCCAACTCGTGGCGAAGCAGTGCAGTGCCGAAGGCAATGCCTTAGGAGAGATTACAGGCAATAGTAAATCAAATATTTTTAGGTTAAATGGTTATGTATCTGGCTTCAGGCCGAAGGCCTGAAGCCTGATGCATGACCACTTAACCTGAAAATATTTGATTTACTATTGCCTGCAATCTATTCCTGCCAGTAGCTATTTCCTTAACCGGTAGGCAAAAATCAGTAGGTTAGGTTAGGTTAGGTTAGGTTAGGTTAGGTTAGGTTAGGTTAGGATTCCCGGTAGGCAAGAATCAGTAGGTTAGGTTAGGTTAGGTTAGGTTAGGTTAGGTTTCTTTATGCCTGGTAGGCAAGAATCAGTAGGTTAGGTTAGGTTAGGTTAGGTTAGGTTTCTTTATGCCTGGTAGGCAAAAATCAGTAGGTTAGGTTAGGTTTATTTAAGCTCTGTAGGCAAAAATCAGTAGGTTAGGTTAAGTTAGGTTAGGTTAGGTTAGGTAAGGCTCGATAAGGTTGGGTTAGGTGACATCTCTTTGAATTTCATCGAGTAATAATCGCTTTTCTCAAGTTGAAAGTTGTCTGCGCTTTAGACATAACAATATGAGAACCTTGGTATTGTTTGTCATTTCTGGCTGCGATAAAAAATTATGCACGCGAAACGCATCTGATATTTTTGCAGCCTTGATTGTTTATAAAAACAGATTGTGCTCATCCGCCGTAACCAGCATGGCGTCAGCGTCGGTTGCGAGGGGTGAGGAATGTGGTGTTTTGGGGTCAATTTTGCCAGCTTTAAATGGTAAGCTGTTGCATTTTACTGGCAGGGAATGTTAGATAGTTGGATTATAGCATGTTGTGATACTAATTGGATTCATATAATTAAAACGAAAACGCTTGGGGACCTCCGTGTTTCCGACCACAGTAAGTTGTTTAAAATGAGATAGGAAGCCCAATATCAAAACAATATCAGTATGTTCTCAAGGTCCTATTGTACAGTTTGTCTTAAAAGTACCACGCAAAGTAACGGTGGATCCATCAAGGCCTGACCGAGGAAGGGTTTGCTAAATTTGAGTCACCAAAGCAATCGACATCCTCGTCCATTCCCCAGGTCAATTGGTTCGGTGACTTTCAAATTATAGCAGGCCCTTCCTCGGTCAGGCTTGATGGATCCACTGTCACTTTGTGCGGTACTTTTAAGACAGACTGTACATATTGATATGCCGATGGCGTGCGTAATGACAGCCAAATGCCTACCAGCAAAAAAATTTGCAAGCCTACAATTTATACGGCTGGTGACATTTTAACTTTGTTTTTGGTCCACAATCATTTTGTCCAGGGCTGCGGAGTCGGAGTCGGAGTCGGAGTCGGTCGGAGTCGACAGTTGTGATCGTAGTCGGAGTCGATTTTAGAAACCCGAACCAGAGTCGGAGTCGGAGTCACCGAAAATCTGTCGACTCCGCAGCCCTGCTAGGTCTGCGGAGTCGGGAGTTGGAGTCGGTCGGAGTCGACAATTCTGCCCGGAGTCAGAGTCGGAGCTGGTTTTTGAAAGCCGGAGTCGGAGTCGGAGTCGCCGAAAATCCATCGACTCCGCAGCCCTGATTTTGTCAGTATTTTTCATTTTTAATATGTAGGTAGGGTATGTCTTGGTGGGCAGGTAGTGGCATATACTGTTTTAAAGAAATATTTTTGTATCTATGCATGTGTCACTGCATGTAGGTATGCATGCATGCCACAACAGCAAATGATTGCGTCATCTTGTGTGTTGATTACAGTTCAATTGGTGCTGGGGTCATGTTTCTCCACCTTAAATATCTTCATCTCTATTGCAGGTACTACCATCTGGTGAATCATGCCTATGGGAGCAGGAGGGTTCCTCAACAAAAAGAGGTATGTGCTTCTTATGGAATAAAGGATGGCCATTTTCTTTGTCCTCAATACATTCACTGTCACCCTGTTCAATTGGGCACACGCCATTGATTATCTCGTGTCAGGGGCAGAGCGAAAGGGTCATAAAACATGTAACCCTATGCTGTTACCAGTGCTTGGTCAAGAAAGAGAAGGTACTAGAAAAACAGCTGTGCTCTGCTATAAAAAATCTGTGATGTTTTGTCATCCACTCTCTCCTACTCCAGGGCTCTGACATGTTCACTTGTCAAATGTCTCGTTATTTTCAGCGCACCTTCCGCGGAAGGCGTGAGATGCCAGAAATGCCTGGAGAAGGGTCATTGGACGTACGAGTGCACCGGTAAGCGTAAATACGTGCACCGCGACTCCAGAACGCAAACGCTGAAAAAGCGACTGAAAGAGAGCGAGGAAAAGAAGAAACTGGAGAAAATGTAAGTAGTTTTGTGATGGCATTGAGCGGCAGCACCGCCGTCATCTGACCGTGCAACGATCGTCCGCGAAACGAGACCGAAATGTTGGAGTAGAAATATCGGCAGCAACGGCTTCTTGAAAACACGTTGATGTTTGTCTGAATATTCTTACGCGTCTGGACCGCAATTCACCGTGGAGACAGTAGACAATGCCTTTCTCAATGGGTATCTGATTAAGAATCGTCATTTTCGTATCTGACTATAAATATGGCTTAAGGGAAGCATAATATATATGCCAGCGACTGCATCCCAGTGATAAGCCCGTTGCTTGGGTACTTTAGGCTTCCCTGCGGAACCCGTGACCGTCATAGACACGTGGAAATCCCGGTACAGCCCCACCGTCCGTCTTTGGCCAAACGTCCCCTGTGTCCACTGCTTCACAGGCAGGCGGCGGCGGCAGCGGCCAGGGCGGCCCGGTCCGACTCAGACTCCGACAGCTCCTCGGACTCCGACTCGGACAGCTCCAGCTCCAGCAGCGACTCCAGCTCGTCAGACTCCGACTCAGACTCGTCCAGTTCGAGCTCGAGTTCGAGCGACAGCTCGGCCACAGAGTCGAATAAAAAGAAAAAGAAGAAGAAATGAGCGATGGGAACTGTGATCGGCTACTTCGAGGGAATGGGGTTGGGATTCGGACGGCTGACACGGCATAGCGAACGTCAGACTTATTTTATATCATGTACATTGTGGATATTCCGCATATTCATACCGTGTATGTTTTGTACCGATGACATTGCGCTTCACTGATGCGGAATAAATCATGTTAATCATTGATCACCTTTTTGCATGTTAGTGATACCTCATCAGCACTGAATCACCGATTAGTAGACGACTCCATCGAAACTGCGCGGAGTTAGCAAGTTCGTATATTTGGTCAGCTGTCAATGCCTCTGTACACAGCAGTAATTATACACGTCATATATAAATGGTCCAACTACCAAGCGCAGGGACCTTTCAGCATCGGACACGCGAGGATACGCGACGTGCATCAAATAACACGTGCTATATTTGGGAACCTAACAAAACATTGCCCCTTTTCAATGCACGATACCTCAACAAAATGCAACAAAGTATTATGTATACAATTAAGTCGGTGGGACAAATAATTACGGGAGATAACTGAACATGTTGAGACATAAAATACAGCACACTTAGCAGTCAGAGTCGATCACTACGGGAGGTCCCGGAGCCGTACCGGTCACCGATTCCGCAGCCGGCTTGGGAGAAGCGGGACTCGGCTGAAAAAAAAGAATACAGTCATCAGTGTCTTTGGCTATTCATTAACATTGACATTTCCTGGCCGTTTAGACGCTGCATCGGTGGCCTCAGAGGAGCGAGGCGTCCTGTCAAAAAAAAAATTAACCGATCTCCATGAACCGCTATTTGAGACTCCTCTTTACGTGAACAGAGGTCCGTAGTTGCCCCCGTGTCCTCACCTGCTCTGATGGTTCTGCCGGCCGGTCACCGGCTCCCGGCGGGGGCGGGGGCGGTACCGTCGGCCTCCTGAGCGGCGCGTCGGCCCTCCGTCCCACCGGGCCGGCCTCCAGCAGGCTGACCAGCTGCACCACACTGCGCCGCTCCGGCTGCTCCGGCTCCGGCGCGCCCTCCGGGGAGCCGTATCCGGAGGAGGCGGCCGGAGAGGCGGCGCCGGCCGGCTGCGGACGGTCCCCGGGGTCCGGCGTCACCTGGAGCGGACGGTCCCCGGGGTCCGGCGTCACCTGGAGCGCCTCCAGCGCCTCCAGCGCCTCCTGCAGCTCGCGCGAGGCCCGGTAGTTGGGGTCGCTGTGTAGTCTGCTCAGCGCGCTCGTCAGGCGGCCGATGGTGCCCGCCAGGGGCGTCTGCGGCGGCGGGCGCTCGGAGACCGGTGTCGGTAGCGGGCTGGCACACAGCGGTACCGGGGCCGGCGGGAACGGCCGGGCCGGGGAGCTGCACTCGGTCAGAGTCGGCGCCGGGGAGGGGCGCACCTCGAGCAGACTACAGGAGCGCACCGGGCGCGGCTCGGTGGGCGGCCAACCGCCGCGGCTCGGCCCGTAGATGGCGCTGAGCAGGCTGAGACAGCGCGGCAGCTGCGAGCTCGCGCTGCCCGGCTCAGAGCGCTGAGCGGTGCGCACCGACAGACTGGCACAGCTGGAGCGGCTGGGCGGCGCGGCCGGCGGCGGCGGCGGCGGAGGGGGAGGCGCGTCCAGCGGGGTCTCACAGCGGGCCGTCTCCACACTGGACTGGGTGCGGTACACCCAGGAGGCCAGCGGAGCCGGGGTGGTCAGCCACAGGTCCGGCGCGCCCGGCTTCTGCGTCATCTGGCTCTGGAAACACGGCACACCGCACTACTGAAACACCGGCACACACGGATGGTGAGTGGGTGGGCATCAGACTACTGACTTTAATAAAGCCAACCATCACCTTATGTATTCCAGCAGTTCAGTTACCAGTTACGACATACTCCATACGACATCCATCCGACATACTTCAGTTACGACATACTCCATCGTCTTCATGACTCGAGTCAGTATGAATTTAATTATTTTTGGTCGGTGAGCACCGCAATCAACCTACCCCACCCAGCGGCTCACCTGCGAGAACATGAAGCTCGATGTTCCGGACGAGGTCGATTTTGGCGACTGCCAGGTGCGCGTGCCGGGTCGGTACTGCTCGTAGGCCAGCTGCATGCAGAACACCACGTTCCCGGCAATGAAGGAGGCCGCCGCCGCCACCGCCGTCGACACCGCCAGGATGAGACAGACTGCGGAGACATATGAACAGAACAGCGTCGTTAAGAGAAATCTACACTCGGCAGCAGGAGAGCTAGTCGACAATTATCCTCAGATAGACACCAAAGCAAGCTAACAGAAATTCCTCGATTGTGGACCCTCCGTCGAGACGTCGATTTTAGAAAAGGCCCCGACAGGTCCCACCCCATCTGCGTCTTTCCATACCTAAAGCGACGTCGGTGGCCTGCTGGGGGCTCGGTGCCAGACCCAGTAGCACCCCGAGGGCGGCGTTGACGACTGGCGCCGAGCAGAAGGCGGCCAGCTGCAGCTGAGAGCGGCGCGAGGCGTGCAGCGGTCCCGAGAAACAGAGCATCGCCGACACCAAACCGGCCAGCACGTCCTGCGGACACGGAGGGTTGCTGAAGTGTCTCGGAGAGACACGGATGTCTCCAGGACACGGGTCCCCACAGGGGTGTCCCAGGGATACGGACAGTTATTGATGCGTGCCGTAGACATGGGCGTTTATTGAGGTGTCCCGTGGGGACAGGGACATTTTCTGAGGTCTCGGGGACAGGGACACGACTAATGGAGATCCCGGGGACACACCAACTGTCACGCACCAACTGGCATTTCCTACGGACGCGACCACAACCGCCGAGGTGTCCCGAGTGAAGCATTATTGACAGGACGTCCACGACTAATCCTAATGAGCAGTTCTATCGATACAATGTGCGCTCGCAGCGGCCCAAATTCACTCACTCTGGTTTCGAACTCGGTACTCAAACATATGATTCATCCAGACTGAGGCGGTAGATGGCAGAAAATCTGACTCATCCAAAATGGCGATATCACATTCACAATCTGACTCATCCAGGCTGTGCTAGCTGTTCCCCACACAGTTCGATTGCCCCATAACCCACGTTAATTCAAAACCCGCTAATCCCGTACCCACAAGTACGGAATTTGCGAATCGTGACTCTCCAGACTCTCAAGACTTATGTCTTCTCGACTCACCCAGAACCCCGCTGCGATGGTGGCTCCGTTGACCGCCGGCCGCGGCGCCTTCAGCAGCAGGTAGAGGCCGCAGACCAGCTGGCCGACGCCGGCCAGCAGCAGCACGGCTGCCAGCAGTCCGGCCAGCAGCAGCCAGGACCGCGCCCCGACCGGTGCCATGTCCGCTGTCTGTCGGGGCGCCGCTCCGTCCCGGCCGGCCGTCCCCTGATTATGTGCCGGCGCACGCCGCTCCCTGTGTGGTCGGGCTCGTCAGATGCGCAGCGACAGACGCCGAGACGCGGTGCAACGCTAAGACACGGCACGTGTCACGGCTTGCGACGGTACGAGTCGCAGCATGCGACGCAGAGGCGGCAGGGGATGAGAAACGAAGTGCGACGTTGAGACAGGGGACGCGAGAGGACGTGCCACGCCGAGGTATGGGAATGAGACACAGCTTGCGACGCTGAGGAAGGGGATGAGACACAGTGGACGATACTCTGACAAAGGAGAAGCGAGACACGACGCACGGCACTGACACACAGACCTGACTGGAGGAAGCGACCAGTCAGCAGGAAACGGCGATATCTCGTGCGGCGCCAGTCCCCCGGGCAGCAGGGATGTGACGGCACGTCGCGTCACCGCCACAGGACGTGACGTGATGCGGCCGCACACCAGAGACACTCGCGGTACGGCTAACATAGTACATACTGCGTGCTGAACGGAAAGGACGGCGGAAGACGGAAGATGGAACGGTGGCCGACGGGGACCCTTCTGCGAAATATGCGTTTTTTATAGAAAGATGTGTCAGCGCAGCTTCAAGATTTATACAGTGAACAGCTCTGGCAGTCAAATTCAGTTGATCAATGAATCAGGTGGAGCATTGTTCCACTAGACTGACTTGCTGGCAGAAAGGGAAATGTAACATTATACTGCGTCGTTGCAAGTAGGCGATGACTGGTGGACCTCGCACTGGGGATCAAAGGTCTCGTTCTAACAACCCAACGACCCTTAGAACGAATGGATCAGCACGGGACCGGACGAACAGACAAACACGCGGTCAGACGGACGGGAGGACACAAGTAAAAGACGAACACGGAACAATTCACGATCATCGGAGGTGGTCAACTCACACTATCTCTGCCCCATTGTGCCCTATCCAGCCCGTGGTCCCTAGGCGCACGGTTTGGTATATGTCAAGTTTAGGTCCTAACTACAATTGTGGCGCTTTTGATACGAATATGAAACAGCAAAAATTTTAGGTTTTAGGTTAGGTTAGGTTGTAGGTTTGTAGGTTTTAGGTTGTAGGTAGGTAGGTTTGTAGGTTAGGTTAGGTTAGGGTAGGTTTGTAGGTTGTAGGTTGGTAGGTTATAGGTAAGTAGGTAAGGTTAGGTCAGGTTTGATTGTTTTTTTCTTTTATTTGCGAGACATATGAGTATCATTTTTGGATTCAGGATGTCAAATAATGTAAAAATATGAAAAATTTATCAATGAAATCTTCTTAGGACTTAAACTTGACATTTACCCACGGTTTTACCCGATCCGTGGTTAGTGAGGCCGGGGTCCCAACTGTAATGCTCACGTGCTAAAACCTTACGCGTGGTCCGTAGGCTCACAGTCTCACCTGGTTTACAATCCTGCAGCTCAGTTGTCCTCAGCTCCGTAGGAAGCGCCTGCTCCGCTCTCCCGACAGCTCCGCCGCGCACCGCAGACGCCTGCCGCGGCCGGCCGCCGCTGCCCGCCTGCGGTCGGCCGGCCCGTGGCCCTCGCCCGCGGCACTGACCTAGAGGTGGGACGCAGTACCTACCGGCCCCGTGCTACCCCCGGGAATGTGTGGGGTATGGCGGTGCATACTGACGGATGCGAGTGTACCTGGCGAGATGATATTAGCAGCTGATGGTGGATTGAAGAATCAGGTGCTACCACCTCTGTCAATTCTCGCCGTCCGTCGAGCAAGTATCAATTGTCACATCCCTTTGATACCAGACCATGCGATATTTTTACATTTCTCACACGTGATACAGCCCCTGATACAGCCATACCTGGTAAAAGGTACGAGCAACAACGGAAAGAAATGACGGCCCGCCTTACAGTCACTCGGAGATTATTCGTGGAGTCTGCGAACTGGCTAAACCGAAAAACGTCAATTTAATTCAACCTACATTTATCACTTCAAACGTTACGTCTTTGTATGTTTTGAAAGTTGTCTCACACCTTTGAGCACCATTAACAGGACAAGCGCCACGATCTTAAACGGATTGAAAGTACCTAATTTCATTAATTTCTGAAAGCATTCACTTGAAAAGCAATTTCTTGACAGGCAAGATGGAATAAACTAACGTCGAAAATGATTCATTTCGCATTACCCATCAAAAATATTTGATCAAAAGCGACTGACACCGCTTTGAACGCATCACCCACTGATCATTTACTCTGCAAAGCATCCCTTTGCAAAGCATCCCTTTGCAGACGAGGCACGTGATACTGCTAATTTTCACTGCAAGGTCTGATACGCTCAAGATACGCTTCGGCTCGGCTGGCTTCCACGGCTTCGACCGACAACTCCCTTTGCAAGTTCTTTCAGTTCTCATTGCCTTACTTCCATATGTGCTTTTGGGCAAAGATCAAGAGGTTAAGAACTTCACCCAAGAAAATAATTGACGATCACATTAGACCAGCCCCGTCAGTGCATTCGGCAGGTATGGGAAAATTAGATCACGACCTTGATCACAACGACCCTAAGACCATGACTAACCTTTACCAATGCATTGCTTGGAACTATTTCAGCGTATGCTCTGCTATTATAACGAGTTTGTAAGGCAACCGGAAGTGCCTGATGTATCTTTTGTATATTCTGTGTATTTGCTTGTTTGCTTGTGAGATCTCAAGTCGTTCAGTAGATATCTTTAGTGATGAAGAGAAGGAAAATTGTGAGGTCGCAAGAAGAGAATTTTTGACACCAACAGATCGCATTATGAGAAACATGCATGTGGAAGACGTCCGTAAGATTGTATTTGAAGGGGATATGGTATTATCACCGGCGCAAAAGGCCCGCTGGTCTAAGACAGGCTACTTAAAAAGAAACATTTATATCCTCATAAAAGAAAAATGGCCCGATAAGGTTGTGAAGTACAAGTTCACCAAACCATACCCGGATAAGTCAATGGTGATTGCGGCTATGAAAGAATGGTCAAAGAAAACATGTATCAAATTCTCGGAGACTACTGGCAACGTCCTGAGCATATTCAGAGGGACCGGTTGTTACGCCCAGGTCGGCTACCACGCCAAGAACATGCAGATGTCCGTCAGCAGCCTGTGCGACAAGGGCACGGTGGTGCACCTGCTGGGCCACGTCATCGGCCTGCCGCACCAGCACTCGCGGCCCGACCGGGACGACCACCTGTTCATCCAGTACCACAACACCGCCCTGGAGGACGTGCTCTACCTCAACTACAAGGGCTACGACCTGTGCCCCTACGACTACGGCTCCGTCATGCACTTTGACACGTACGGGCTCAGCTACAACGGCGAGAGTGTGTTCCTGGGCAAGACGGAGCACGAGGCCGAGGACGGTCTGATGCTGTCTCCCACCATCGGCGGCGACTGGAGCGCGCCTTCCGACAGCGACGCCGCGCTCGTCAACAGCGAGTACGGCTGTCCGGCGAAGCCGTGCAGCACGCGCAAGGCGCAGCCGCCCGCCTGCAACCAGGACGTGGTGACCACGCAGGCGCAGTTCGAGCGCACCGTCACCTTCAAGACTATGCTCACCGAGCGCAGTAGGGCCATCTCGTGCATCTGGAAGACAGAGGTGCCGGCGTCGCTGCCGTGTTCGCGAGCAGCACTCTCGATCACACTGTCCGAGAGTCCCGACAACGACCTGAAGCGAGTCTGGTTCGCCAGCGGCTGCCGGCTCTTCAACGTGGAGATTTTTGACCCAGACGCCGACATGAGCTACTTTTACTGCGCGGCACAGTTCGCCCGTAACCCGACCAAGGTGTTCGTGTCCACGGCAAAGAAAATCTACGGCATTGTCAGAATGTATCCGGCCGATTGGGAGGGATTCGAAACGGCCGCGCTTGACACAGGCAAGGTCAGATTCTTCAACATCAAGGACTTTGTATGTGCCGGCGAGATAAATGGAAAATGTTTCTGAGAGGTATTAGAGGAGACAGTGCTGCGAGCGCGCGGTGATTATTTGCCGACAAGAGGTGATAGAACGGAGAAGGTAAACCAGACTGAGATTATAGAAAGAAGGTAAAGTAGCCACTAACCGCCCCGTCGTCCGCTGTTTGATCTGTAGCGGACCGCAGTTATCAGAGCCAGTTGTAGTGAGCTGTCTGGTACAGCCATAGCCGAGTATGACGCCATACTTATGTGACGACTGGTATCGGTAAGCCTCCGTGTTCGTGAGGGCGATTTGATCGTAATGAGAGAAATGAATGAATCAATCATGAAGAAATGATGGCACAGCGAGCAGCGTGTTAGAATCACCGTCAGTGTCATATTAAAAGGGTGATAAAAGGGTGATAAGTAACAGGAAATAAATGAAATGGATCAAAATACAATTTCCACAAGAATACGTTGGGACATACGCAATTTTTGATAATATTTATGTGACAACCAGTGTTCCTACAGCAGTTCGCGATTCAGAGCATTAAATATATTGGCACATCAACATACAAACATGAATGAAACATCTAAATGCCGAAAAGCAGTGATGATGGTGTGAAATTATCGTGTTCCGTCACCCCGATTCAACACATGTTGCGATGAGTCTCGATCTGTTTGAGCGTCATAAGACATTCCCACCTGGCATATGGTGTCCAGCAGTCCGCCGTATCACATCAGTCACGTGTGAACGGTCAATTTGTGACTGCCGACCGCCGTCGGAGCGCACTTGCCACACTGTCACAATCAGAGTTGGCCTGCGCTACGCTACGTTACGCACTACGTTACGCTACGTTTGCTTTTTTGGCCAAAACTACGATACCGAATTACGATACGTTATATATTGCTACGTTACTGAATTACGGTATTTGTTAATTAACGCAGCAAATTATTTTATCGTACTACGTTATGCAATATGTCATCATCCACTACCCAGCGGAAACGGTTAGTCTCTAGTAAGCCAAATACTGCGCACAATGATCGCCGGCTTTGCAGCATCGTCGGTGCGGCGGTGCCTACGCGCTACTCGCTAGATGCGCTGGACTTCCGACAGGGAATTCCCTGGGACTCCCCAGTGGGAAATCCCCGGTGTCGGTCCGGCCGGAAGAAAGACTCAGTGGTATTCATATAGCAGGCGTCTCACATCCGTGTAAACGGCCGGAGGTCTGGTGACGACTAACGATATGAGTAAACTGAAAAAAATTATGTACCTTATACAAATACAGCTGACCTGTAATTGCTACGGAATCCATTTCGTAGTTCTTACGTTATTCTATTATTTTCCGTACTACGCTACCGAAACATCCCAATTACGCTACGAAACGGAACTGACAGCTACGGGTTACCGAAAACTTCAAAATAACGTAACGTAGGCCAACTCTGGTCACAATACCTTTGTCGGTCTCTTGGGCCGGACATGGCACCGCCACCTCGCCGATCGGTGTGCCGTCACCGAGCCGGGCGTATCACAGGTTACAGCTAGCGCCAACTTCAGGCGAAGTACCGTCTCGCCGTCGGCTGGTGGGGCGACTCGCCGTGCACGTGGATGACACAAGGCGAGCCCAGCAGATCAGTGGCCAGGGTGAGGGCGGCAGCCACGCGGCGTGCGAAGTCCGCCGGCACGGACACGATAGCCCGGCCCGCCGAGACGTCGTAGGAAGTAACGGAGAGCGGCGAGCACGCGCCGAACTGGGGGAGAAAGACGATAGTGGTCAGTGTGTGGCCAGTCTCAGCTGGTCTAGGGTGAGAAAAACAAAACCTGAAGGTGGCAAATATTACAAAATGGACACAGCCTCAGTGTCCCACAATTAGATTTTGGCTTGGGTGTCAGAGGAGAAAATTCCTTACCAAAAAGGGGATTAGAGTGGTAAGTTGCTGGTCAGATTAGCCCCCTCCTGCCCCCCCCCCCCAAAAAAAAAGAAAAGGGATAGATTGCACACATTTCTTTACAAAGGTAGAATCCAATGTGACCATTGACACAATGGATTCTAATTTCTAACCATAGGTTAACCATACATTCTAACCATTGATCCATACAGGCAGATATTTTCTTGGTATAATTGGGAGTGGATAACTGTTCTTTAAAAAAATGAAGGTGGAAGCAGAAAATTATTTTTGTTTTTGAATGTTTTGTCCCACCCAAATCAACAAATTTTGAGACACTACATGGCCTTGGAACTAACAAAACATTTAAGTTCATATGCCAGTCCCATGTGGTATAGCAAAACACTGGTGTGAATTACACTGTCAAGATTATGCATAGGGCCGTAAGCATGAAAAAAGATTAAAACGCATACCTCTCCAAAAACTGAGCGCACAGCCTCCCTCAGTCCATACTCCACATATTCATGATTGATGGAATCTGGCTTGTTGCTTATCCACTCACTGAAAACAACAGAAAAACTCATGTCAATGTGACTTGAGAACTACATCACAAACATGTGACACACCATCCAACAGCAGCAGAACCTACTGACCTTAGTACCAGACTGCAAAGGATGGAAATTTCCACAGGCAATTTCAACAAGATCTAGTCAGTGCCAACTGCGGTGACACTGCCAGTGAATAATAACATTAAGCTGTGTCAGTGTCTCCAACCGCCCCGCCAGTGACCATGTAATGCAGATTTACTGTGATGCAAAACTGAAGCGGTGCAGGGTGCAGACCCTAACATGTACATGGCAGACAATGTGCTGGAACTCCTGTGCTGGTATGAGGTGATCGTTGCCCATAAAATGATTCGAAACAAAACACCAAACTATCTTAATTCTTACATTGTGGGCCGCAGGATAACATCTTCATTTCCACCATTCTCCTTCATCCTTCAGCTTAGTTGTTATGAAAAATATCACATTTGGTCTTGGACTCTGAATCTCCCGTCAGTAGTCGTGTTTAAAATTAGAGCTTATATTTTAAATATTACCCTTAAAGTTTCTCATATATTCCGCATTCTTACCTTACGCAACTCGTGAAATTCCTTATCGTCGCAGGCACGCCATAAATGCCTGAAGCTAATGCTACCATATGCAGTCTCCCTACAGGAATTTTAGCAGACGTCCCATGAAGGAATCTTGGTCCCATGTCCCATGCGGTCTTGAACTTCTCGATTTCGAAAAAAAGATACCTATCAGAAACTTTCGTTTCTTATAGGTATCTCGAACTTCTTATTGCTCTGGAACATCCCTCCCTTCCAGACGACTGATTCAGTTCAACATGTCCATTGATAGGCATTGAGTTTCATTTTCGCACGATAGTACGGTTTATTCTAATGAGTAGTAAAGGAATCTTGATTCTAACCTCTGCTTTCAAGAGAGAAGGGAGATTGGCTTTATTGGGGACGCTCCGGAGATAACGTCAAAATGCATTGCCTTTTCTAAGAAAAAGAATAAAGATCAACTGCCGATGCACCGGAACTTATAACTATACGGTAAATACAATGAAACATACAGATTACAGATAATTCAAAATGTAGGCATGCATATAAACTTCGACATAAATATCCTATGCAATTTTATTGACAGTACCAATATAACAGAGCGTCAATGCTCAGTGGACAGACTGAGAGCAGAGGCTACAGTTCGTGAACAGAACCGGGCCAGCCAGGCCAGCCAAGTCACAACGGTTCTCGAAAAGGCGGCATTCTGTTCAAATTCCCAGATGACGGCGAACTACACAGCGCATCTCAACTTTCGGCATAATGAATCGATGGACACAGGCAAACGCGCTCACATTATTATGTGTCACTGGGAGGTACCGGCGGCGATCTGATAAATCAACCTACAGAATTACTCGGGCTGGCCGCGGGCCGGAGTCGGGCAGGGCGCCTGTCCTCGGCACAGCGGAGGGCCGGCCCCGGTACCCGCCGGCAGCGGCCGGCCCGAACGGCGCCGGGCGCACAGACCCGCGCCGCCAATCACAATCACAACTGAGACACTCGGTGCGACGAGCTCACTGCAATCAGACCCGGACAACACGAGCGGAATCCAACGACCAATCGTAACTGTGGACGGCTCCGGCCAGAAGTCGGGCTCTGTGTAACAGGCGGGCGCGCCACGGAGCCACGCTCCGCCGGTAGCCGGCGGCCCTGAGCGCGGGGAGCGGGTGACACGCGCGCCGGGCGGTGTCGGTAGGGGGGGGGGGGAGGGCGGTGAGGGCGCTGCTCTCCTCGGGCGCGGCCCTCCTGAGACAGGGCTGGGGCCGCGCCGTCATACGGCGCCCCGCTGCGCACGGCGGGACACACGGCAGACGCTCCGTCACCACCCAATCAGCTACTGGGCCGGCAGCGGCGCACAGGGCGCCGGCCGCCGGCCCAGTAGCCAGCTTAACCTCAGCAGCCGGAGGACTTGCTCTCGGCGCCAGACTTCTTGGTGACGTTCATCGTTGTGAAGTTCTGCCGTGAGATGGAACGCGTCAGATAACGGTCAGCAGCCGCGGCACACAGACTGCATATTATCACAATATAGACAATTATTGTCAAGAACAAAACACACGTCAACCACAGCAACGCCCTAGTGTAATCAGGCAACGCTTCGCGAAAATCATAAAACCAGTGGAAATCTCATAATATTCTTTGGGAAGAAACGGCTACTTATCTATTAACCCCATTAGGCACGCCTGACCTAAAATCACGCTGAACTGAGGATCACCATCTTACCTCTGACACGGTCGGGTGGATGCCAATGGTGGCGTCAAAGTCCCACTTGCGAGCGCCCAGCTTCATGGCCACGGCGTAGCCCTGGGTGATCTCCCCGGCGTTGGGCGCCACGATGTGGAACCCGACCACCTTGTACTGGAAACAGAGAACAGAAGAACAGTGAGGCAGGGGAGGGAGGGAGGGAGAAACGACAGCGGCGACATTTCGCACAAGGGAGGTACAAGTGGCGACGGACAGGCAACATCGGACACCGAACTATTTAGATCAATCAGCAGACGCAAAATCAGTGTTCTTATGAATCTCACTCAAGCTGCATTCTCACCCAAACACACGTCGTAATCTAACAGCCGATTCACGCCGTGTCCTCTTTCTTAAATCTCCACGCCACATTCTCATGTCTTCCCCTCCCCCACACCGTTCTCACCTCCTGGCTGATGCAGCAGACCAGCTTGGCGTAGCAGCCGTTCTCGTCCCGCTGCGCCACCGTGTGCTCCAGTGCCGTGAAGTACTGGTGGTACACCTCGATATCGTCCTCTCCGAACTGGGCGATTGCGTCCTCCTCTGAGAGGCCGATGCAGCCGTACTCCATGGGCGTGAACACGGTGGTGGCCACGTTCGCGTAGTCGGTCAGGATGGAGGCGTCGTTGACGAGCCGGCGCGCCAGCAGACGGCCGGCCTGGATCGCCACCGGCGTCAGCTCCGGCTTGCCGCTCACCACGTCTCCGATGGCGTATATGTTGGAGACGGTCGACTTCTCGTCCGGTGTGCACACCACCTTACCGTCCCTGGGGGTGGGATGGGGGGGGGGGGGGAGTCAGTAGTCAGGTCACAACTCACATCACACAGGTAGGTGGAGCTAGTGGAGTCGAGTCACACCGGCACGCATTAATGCCCGGCGCTAGCAGAGCTATCGTTACTGAGCTATCACGAGATGGAAACTGCCAATATCACGGTTATCACTTGAGTCTTCATCACGCGCGTATGCCCCCAGTTATCCCTCCACGCTGTTCATAATCCTCCTATCTCGAAGGTCTCAGTACGTACTTGGGGCTGAGCTGGACGCCGACTTTATCCAGTCCGATGTTGTCTGTGCAGGCGTCCCGGCCGATGGCGAACAGCACCGTGTTGTACTCGCCCTCCACTACCTCGCCGTCGGTGGTCTTGGCCAGCACCTGAGGACAGGGGGAGAGGTGAGAGGGATAGAGTGGGGGAGGGAGGGAGAGAGAGAGAGAGAGAGAGAGAGAGAGAGAGAGAGAGAGAGAGAGAGAGAGAGAGAGAGAGAGAGAGAGAGAGAGAGAGAGAGAGAGAGAGAGAGAGAGAGAGAGCAAACAGACAAGCAAAAACACGGACACATTGACAGTCATAGAAACATAGCCAAAGACATGCGAATATACCAACAGACATCCAGACATCCAGACAGACAGACAGATACAGTCACAGGCATGAACGGTCAGCACACAGCCCATCCCAGCGCAGAGCAGCCGCCCATTACATTACCAGCGGCCATCACATTACGGCGGTGGCTGAGCGGTGAAAGTAAACAGACAGACGCCACCAATCGACCGCTCACCACGGGCCGGCGGCCGGCAGGGCGACCTTTAACGCCAGCGGCTGGCTGAGTGAGCGGCGACCCTTACCACACACAGACACAGAGCAGACATCTCTCGGCAGCAGCGGTAGCGGCCGCAGACAGTGGGAAAGGACGGGAAGCTGTTTGGTCGTCTTTTTTTGTTAGTGAGCTGCCAGCCTGCTAGCGTTTCCCGGCTCGTCGTTGGTTAAATTTTCGCGGCGCGGGGGTTAACCACTGGAAGCCGAGAAACGCCAGCAAGCACCTTCCTTATATCGGGAAACCGGCAGCATGCTGACAAACCCTACACAGACAGCGCCCGGGAGCTAGGGCAGCAAATTTTTTAACACACACCTTGACTCGTCGAGGCGGTCCCTCCTCTATCAGCTGCAGCTCGGTGGGCACGCACTGGCGGATGAACTTGACGCCTCGCTTCTCCAGGTGCTCGCCCACCAGGTTAGCCATCTGCTGGTCGAAGCCGCGCAGCAGAATGGACCGCACCTGGAACGGGGAACAGGGTCAGGCCGGGCTGTGGACGGTGGTTGGTATGATGGGTTAACTATTGCGGGTGCGGCCAGAGGCACAGCAGAGCTACATGGCATGACGGCATGGTTTCAGCCACTTTCAGCTGATGCAAATACGAGCGGCTATTACCGCCATAAAGACAGATAAATGGGTGAGTAAATTGATACACAAAACAGGCCATCTGCAGCCATTAATAAAAAAGAACGATGGGGCAAAGGGTTGAAAGAAGTGATAATGTATTTCGCAAAGGACGATTATTACTGGGTTAAACTATACTGACCAGATGTAATAGGGTACGCTGTATTCTCGAGCACAATTTTATGGGTGGAGAGGGGACGAGGGATGACGAACTACACATGGAAAAAACCCACGGTGTGGCTGCTATGCAGGCTCAGACGCCCTCACCCGCGACACGGAGAACGAGTGTGCACAGGCATACCCGCCCAGCCCAGCCGTATGGATGGCCGCATTTGGACCGTCTGAAACCAGAGACCGACAGCTGAGCCCGCTAGCAGCCCAGCTATTGAGGATACATCGACACAAATGTTCACTAGAGGTAGTTACCGACACCTGAGCCTACTTCGCCAAACCATACGGGAAAGCCACCCAGCCATAAAACCAGACACCGGGGCTCAGTTTCAGCAATCGAAAGGCTTCTCTGCTAGCCCCCTCAGTCCCCCCCCCCCCCACCCCGCTCCCTGTCCACCGACACACCACTATTCCGTTACCCTTCAGTCATCACAATGACTTCATGACGTCACCCTGACGTCACGCTCACCATCACAGTGACGTCCAGTCCGAGGCCGCGCAGGAAGCCGGCGCACTCGAGTGCAATGTAGCTGGCACCCACGATCAGTGTCTTTCCCGGCGAGTGCGGCAGCGAGAAGATGTCGTCGCTGCTGATGCCGTACTCGCGCGCGCCGGGGATGTCCGGCAGACGAGGCCGGCCGCCGGTGGCCAGCACGATGTACCGGGATGTGATGGTTTTCTCCTTGCCCTTCTTGTCGACAGTCTGAGGGAGAGGGTATGGACGAAGCGTCAGTTTAGCTAGGAGTGGAGGCAGGGGGTGGGAGATGATAAATCCGAAATTAGCTTTTTAGGCGGGTAGTACGGTGATCTAAGCTGAGCTACATATTAAGCTGTAGCTTAGGTTTCCAGTAAAAAAGCAGCAAACGCACCTTCCTGAGAGAAGAAAGCAATGGAAGATAACTTTTCTGAATTCAAACGGGGGTGATTTAGGGAATACGGCAAACCGTTGACAGCGTTACAGTTGCTAACGCCGGCAACGGCAGCAAGTTAATAATTTCTTACTTTGAGCGTGTGTTCGTCGACGAACTGGGCGTAGGCGTTGAGGTAGGTGACGCGCTTCTCACGGAGCTGCACCCGGTAGCCCCAGTTGAGGGAGCCGATGTGACTCTGCACGGCCGTCACCAGCTTCTCCCAGTCGTGGGTGGCTGGGGGTGCGGCGGGGACAGTGTCATAGACTGGTGGCATGGCGGGGACAGTGTCACAGACTGACCTAGCTGGTGGGGTGGTGGTCGGCGCTCGACTTATTATGTATCGGATCGTATGCTGAATGAACGTCCATGGTTGTGAATCGTATGCACGAACGGCCAGCCAGTAGCGCCCCACGCTCAGAATTTAATGAACTGTGGAGCTCTTGTCATTTTTAGGGCCTTCCCCGGCACACTTGGAAAGGCGTTAGTTTTTTTTTCAGCCTACGGCTACTAGCGCACTGAGGTCAAGGAGCGCCCCAAGACTTCTGCGCTAAAATTACATGCAGTTACTGGCGAGGTCAGTAGTGTCCAAAAAGGTAAAAGTCTTCATTTCTAGCAATAAACACAAGACCATCGGTAAGGTTCTTACGTGTGTTGATGGACCATCCGAACTTCTGGGCGTCCTCGGCGGCCTCTCCCAGCAGCGCCGCCTGGTGCATCAGCTTCTTGGGGATGCAGCCGACGTTGACGCACGTGCCGCCCAGGCCCCACGTGGTGCCCTGACGTCATCAATCGTACGACGGGTGACGTCACTACATGTGCGCATCATCACAGTCTTGCAGTTTTGGACAGCGATCCGATAGACGCACATAAGACGGAGTTCAAGAGATCAGAGTCAGATAAGGTCACATCGGTACCATTGTTCAAACACTGCGCACTGATCCCCACAGCGAGTGGAATGATAAAGGCCAGAGCGGTGCAGCCGTACTGACACAAACACATATAATGAATCTTATCACCGTCCGTATCTGGCACAGAAACCAGAGGTCAAAACGCACTTCAACAAGTGTAGTCAGACTCGATTCGATCCCCTCCCCACCCCAACCCCCACTCCGCTGCACAAACACAAAGAACACCTGTGGCTCCCGGCCTCGTAACCTCCCACTCTCTCCCCGGTTTCGCTCACCTGTGGGGACGGTTTGACAAAGTCACAGACGGCCACTCGCGCGCCCTGCACGGCCGCCTCTTTGCTGCAGGCGAGGCCGCCGGAGCCGCCGCCCACCACGACCACATCGTAGTCGTACTGGGCGTCTCCGCCACCTCCGTTCAACAGCGAGGCTAGCTTACCGCTGGAGTGGGCCTGCAGAGGAGAGCGGAGCCGGTTTAAGAGTGTTGGACGTTGAATGCTGGGTTTTGATGCACGGACGCCACAGAGGGCTCACTGGGATGAGAAAGCAATAACGATGGATGTGAGAAGCAACCAATAAGGGTAGATTGGTGGATATTGGTTACTGATCAGTAGTCAATAAAGTCGGCCGTCAAACCAATACAGATTGACCGTTTGATCCCAGGAAAACGATTAAATATGAATTTGTCACAGACAGGCGAGTCAGCACGGTTACAGTGGATATGACCACGGATACTTTACTACTCGATATGACAGCCGTTATGCACGGCCGTCACTTACGATCGGTTAGCTATCCAAGAATACGTCCGTCAAAGAAACATGGACAGCCGTCACAGGGGCAGATCGGCACCCAAAAATATGTAACGCCGCACTGGTGCCACGCAACAGTCAGCCGGACGATCACAAACTTCGCGAGTTTGACCCTCGGCTCCGGGACTTATCCAACGCACGACAATCTCGCTTCATATCCCGGCCACTCTACTAAGCGCGTTCCAACAACGGACAGCACATTATCATCCGGGAGGATAAGCTGTGAGCTCATTTAGCTGCCGTCCCAGCCGGCCCCCGGTTATCAGCTCTCTTATCGGTGTGACCGCTCCATAACGATATTGTTCGTTGTCGGTCGCCGGCCGGTCGGCACGGCTGACCTTTTGACCGGTCGATTGTGGGGTCAGCCGGCGGGGCTGACCCGTGGAGGGCGGCCGGCGATAGGAAGAGTCCGAACTGACCACTGAGCGCAGGAGAAGCGGGGGTGGGGGGGGGGGGGGGGTGGGTGGGGACGGGGTGGCAGCTGCGACCAATGAGGTAGAGCGGACTGAGGAGGCATTATCATTTGTAGAGGTCACTCAGGTGGATCTGATATGACTCGGCGAGATAGAAACAATTTACAGCGAATCAAATAACATGCACCATTTCTTTCCTTTGAAAACTTACACGATATTTGTGCCTTGTCTTTGTGTGCGGTGTGACGCTAGGCTTGTGCACCAGAAAAAAAACGAAAGACGTTTTCGTTGCATCCGCGTTTGAACTGACGACGCACTATGGCCTGGTACAGAGGGTCTGTTTGTCTGATCGCTATTCAGCAGTTTGCAAGGTGACTTTGCTCGTTCTGTTCTGCTACTGTTTACTTAGGGCAATTGTTATATTTGAATGCCAATTGCGTCAGCTTTAACAGACTCGGTCGAGTGATGTATAATGCATATCCATACTCGCTTGCATCGCTACCTACCAACATACCTAGATTAGAAATACTAGGGTACCTTGGCTACAAAGTATCTGTAACATCAGTGGAAACGCAATAAAGCAGCGTGCATTTTGGTTCATCGAACCAAGATTGCTTTACTACACCTACAGGCCTACCCTATTTTTGAAGAACCTAGTAAGTGTCAAGGTGACGAAACGGAGAAAAACGAGGAAACGTTAACGTGTGCTAGCCTAAGCAGATGCGCATAACATGCATCAACCTGAATAGTGTTTCTATATGTATTTTATGTGCGCAATTCAGAAATGCTATTCAAATTTTTCAAATGCTTACCAATAATATAAATGTGGACTTGCTAGATTAGCTGTGGCATTGGACGAATAGGGAAAAACCTAGCACGGTTACCTACTTACTACGTTTTTCTGTGCCAGATATGCTTTATCTATGAAATAGGTTGTCAACAAAACTGAAACAGTTGTCATTTCAAGAATGCCCCTATGAAGAAATTCTTTGTGGTTTTGTGCTCATCTTACCTTGCTGAACCATTTCCTGCTCTAAGTTTTGTATTTAAATAAAAAATAAAGATTTTTCCTTAAAAAAGGCTGAAAAGTGGGTGGGGGGCCATGGCCCTCCGCCCCCCCCCGGCCCCCCTGTTCCTACGCCTATGGACCAGACGGCTCATAAAGAAGTGATTTTCACGAGTGCTGTTCACGGGCACCTGCCGTAGCTGCAGCTCGGTGTTTACCTGCGGCCATAGATCCCGCGGCTGACCGCGGAGCCGCAGCTACCGCAGGTCCCCGTGAACGGGGCCACGGTCATTTTTTAAGAAGTTACACCTGCATATCTACAGTGTACGCCATCTCATCATCATGCTGGCTGACTACAGTGCCTCGGCATGCATCAGTATCTCTCGCTATGCTTCAACCCAACCCAAATCAAAATGGCTTATCCCGCTAACGCACTTCACACGCCCTGATATCGTGCTCTTTAGACGCAATCGGTATCGCAGACGCAGACATAGATTACATTGGGTCCCTCAGAAACTCCTTGGGAACGTCAGGAAGAGGTGCAGGGATACTGGATCCGGCACCCCTGCCACTCCAACTCGTACCACCGGGGCTCGGCGGCTCGGCACACGCAGCAGACGTCGGCCCGCTCAAGGACACCGCGAAAGTTTGTCAGTGTGGCTCTCCACAGTTCAAAAATCGGGGTTCACACTGATAAGTTGCAATAGGGACTCCGGGGCGGTGAAGCGAAGTTAAGGTTTTCTAGAGCACATCAAGGTGCTACATGCACCAACCTTGATGTGCACCATCAAGCTCGCTCATGTAGCCAGCAGTTAACAGACAGACCCAACCAGGGGAGTGGGCTTTACCTAAAGCGCGGAAGTCGCGAATGGGCGAAAACCTAGTAGGTATACGACACTGTATCACAATGCACATCAGCGCAAAATGGGATGTTCAGGTCTCTGTCTGGCTGTACGGCTCCATGGCAACCGAACGGAAAACATTAGTGACTGCGTCATAAAGGCTGCTTTCCGCCCGGACGGCACGGACAAATGAGCCATATCGATACACGATCCGACGAATGCGCACCACGAGAGGTAACAATGACGAAATTTCCCATTAGAGTTATCAATTAGTTGTTGCTGTCAGTCATCTGACCAAACAAATTAAATGCAAACCTTTACATACTTTCATACTACTCGTATCTGCACAGCACATACAAATTACACCAAAAAAGCAGAGATCATTTACCTCTGCCCCGTCAATGATCTAAGACAGTCCTGTGACCGTGCAGTGATCCAGTAGCCTATTAACAATATCGTGATCTAGGCATTCCCCCGGCAAACAAGTGGTTCCACCGGTGACCTCTGACAGTTCGTGACCCTGTCATGCTCCCTGTGACCCCTTCAATGACCTCTGACAGCTCCGCGACCCCGCCGTGACCCCGTGACCCCAGAACCCCGTGACAGCCGATACTGACCTGCAGGGTGTCGTCGCAGCCGCCCACGTGTTCTCCATTGACGAACACGTTGGGCACGGTGCTCTGGCCTGTGCGCTCCTTCAGGGCATCCTGGAGGGCCGGTCCGTCCTCTGCAATCAGACCGAGCCGGCGTCAGTCGGCGTCCGTCCCAGAGGCCCCCCGACAGCCCCGCCCGGTCCGGGGTCAAAGGGCACGGACAGGGTGCACGCCCCTTCCCGGCGACATAGTGCTGGAGACACGCCCGTGCAGCCCGGCCGGCTGGCCCGGACCGCCCGGCCGGCCGGCAGAGACCGTTTCCTGAAACTGGGGAGATACGCCGGGTGACATCGTCCGGTTGTTTTCTGAGAATCAGTTACAACCAGATGTGCACGACTGTTGAGTCCCTGCTGGCTGGTTGGGTCTCTGACTGAGGGATGCAAACTTTCGGACGATGACTACACCCGGTCTCTTCGTTTATAGCCTATAGGCAAGAAATATGACTATGCATGATAACCTATGTAGAATACAGTACCTTCTAAACTGCGGCTTGCTAACCTCACTAAGCAATTGGGACACATCGCCCCTCCCTCGCTAGATTGTAACGTTTGTGCGTCACCAAATGAGTTTGCAGGTTGTAACTGCCAAAGACGTCCAAACAGAATCAGTCGTCCCTTGTTCACTCTCGGCAACTCGGAGACAAATTTAGAACCACTGTTCGCTACATGCCTGTGGGAGCGGCCGACGCCGTATCTTTGAAGAGCTTGCGCCAAATAACCCACTTCCGCATCCCTGAACACAACCGCCTCCAAAGGCTACGAAAAGCTGACTAAACCCAAAACGCCGAGTTTTCGCGCATATGACGAAGCCACAGGAGGGGTCCACACTTGTCTAACCGACCGTATCACACCACTGATCAGCGATCATTTCTGGGGCGCTCCCTATTCCCCCTCTCCCCAGTCCGGTGAGCTGTCAATGGGAGGGGGGGGGGGGGGGGGGGTCTCGGACGGAACGGCGGGGCAGTGAACCCTGATCACGTCTAAGAGAGGGAAACAGGGCGCCAGGCGAGACTGTCACCGATTGCAAACTAAACTGTGAACAAACACTCGTGCGGACTTTGTGTGTCATGTGGTACAAAAAGCTTATTATACGACTTATACGAGTACGAAAACACCATTTCTACAGTCACTAGAACGTCCATTGGGAAGATTAATTCTGCCATTACCGTGAATCGTGGCAGGTGTCTGGATTTCGTACCCATCGGACACTTATTCAATCTGACGCTGCATCACCGTAATGAGCCAATGCTGCTCACGTGCCGTGCATTGGACACCTCCCGTCTGCGGGGGACAGATCACGCCGGCCGCCTGACCGGGGCATTACCGAGATTGATGAGGGCAGAATCCGACTGGACTGGTCTGGATTGTGTCTCTAGCCTGTGAGCCACTCAGACTCGGGGATCGTTGTACCGCCGGTCAGCGGCCGGGTTGGACATCAGCTCTTCAGATAAAGTAGGGCTATAGCTATCAGCTCAGTGTGGAGTGGCCACTGAATACTCAATTGGGCAGTCTCACGCCGTAAAACCCCTATTGCTGCAGTACCCTTTGACCCCATCGTCGGACATCGCCCTCTGACCTCAATCAGTCTCGCAGACTTCGGTACTTGGCGACGGTGATTGCAGTGCGTATAGGCGGTCACTTAGATCTCACTTTGTGCACACTGCACAAAAAAAAACCATCAGAGACGGGAATGCCCGATGCTTCCGTCATTCATGGAGCAGAAACTATTCGAAAGGAGGCGAATACAAATGTGAGTGGTCGAAAGGACTAAACAGCATCACGAGAGGCAAACCCGATTTTGATTCTGTCAAAAGTTACCAAGCAAGCACGCAGTGAAAATTGCATATGGATATCAAGAAGGAAAGGAGATATTCGAAATAAAAAGGCGTCGGAACATGCTGCATTTTAACCGGACCACTACGAAACGCAAATCTAGCCGCACCCACGATTTATGACGCAGAAGTCGCTGACATTTGCCGTTGCCCTCTGGCGAGCTCCTAAAATAGCCGCCCCAGGTCCTAGTGCCGTGGCGGCGGCGGCGGCCGGTTGCCGGGCGGTGCAGGCAGTGAGTCGGGCACCGCGACCAGCTGTGGCGGGGATCTGCTGAGTCAGGCCGGCGCCTATCGTGGCCGCGTCCGGAGTCGACCTTGGCGCCGGGCCGGCCGGCGAGTCACCGCCTCTCGGGGCACGGAGTGGCCCGCCGCACGCTGCCTCGGTTACGTAACGGCACAGCCACGCCGGGCCGGGCAGGGCCGGGCCGCCTCCGCGTGGTCGCCGCCACCGGGTCACAGCGACAGGGGCTTTCACCGGTTGGTGCCCAGCCCAGATGATTGGTGAGAGTTAACAACGGAGAGAAGAGAGCAGAGTTTTGAGATGTAGTTAGGGTATCGCTGTGACCGTTTTCTGGAAGTTGACGACATGGCGCTCGTCCTTGACAAGGTCAAAAGGGCCCGATTAATAAGCCTGGATTTTTCCAATACCTTCGCGCAAGACGCTGCTATAGCTTGCTCTAGATTTCATAGGAAACAATGGGCCAGCTGAAACAGCTTCCATTCTTTTCAATATCACAAACGAATTTACACGGAACGCATTACTGATCACTGGCCATGTATAATTTACCGGGAGAAAGCTGCATTCTGGGCTAACAGCGTTCGTTCACCCGGCAGAGGGAAAAACAGTGGCAACCTACCAGACATGTGCTTGGATCCGGAAAAATGGATCTGAGATCCGATCTCATGGATCCCGATCCGAGATCCATTCAGATCATAGATCCAACCCCTCAATTTTGTCGAGAGATCTACTGGGATCATAGACCCGACCCTTCAATTTTGTCGCTAGATCCACTCCGGATCATAGATCTGGCTCCCCAATTTTGTCGTGAGATCCATTGGGATCATAGCTCATAGGTGCTCAAAATGTTAACAACTTTCTTTCATAAGAAGTTATGAATACCAAAGTATGGTTAGAAACAAACAATCTTATACAAAGGCCATATTAGTAAAGGCATCCAGTTACATTATACAGAATACAAAATAAAGGAGGCTCATGACGGTCACAACTTGAGAGAATTGAGTGACATGAAGATTGTTCACATACCAACAGAAAAGTTTGCATTAACAATTAACATAGAGGTAAGTCAAAGTAATGACTAATGAACAATACATTACTAGGTAGTAGGTACCTAAGTACCACATCACAATTCATGTTAGAATCTACATAATGATAAGACAATCCTGCATTAGACAACCATGAGGCTTTCCAGTTTCAAGCTAACACAATTGATTGATAAACAATAAAAGATGATACTGACACATGTGGCTTGGTTAGGTAGGTATTTCAATCCATTGAAAGAAATATTTGATAAAATAAACTGAGATATAAACAAAAGTATAAAAATATTCAACAGCCTGCGGAAGCGATGGGAAGCGAAATATCAATTGGAATGGCCTTGGATATTTACCGTAAAATGATTATTCAGTATCTAAATAGAACTCGTGACGTCATTTCAAATAACAAATGAGCTAAGCGTTCTTCCTTCGAGTATAATGAAAATAAATAAAAAATCAAACTGGAAATTCAAAAGTCTGAAGTTTTTTTTCAAAAGAATGTTCATTTTTTTCCGCCTCACATAATTTTACGATACGATTGTTTGTGAATATCATCTTTGTAGCGATGAATTTTATGACGTAAACGTAAGCTGAAAGCGAGTGTGTGCCTTGCATCTTTATTTTATTCACTTTTCAAAAGAATCACAATATCTTACGTCATTAGTTTGAAGGGCCTATTACGGGGAATCTTTTGGAATCATTACGGTTTTAGTCAAATTAAGAATTTTCATTTAGTATATGACTGAAGATCGTTTTTCCATTGGAGCACGTGTTGAGGATGAAAGCGTTTCTAACAGGTTTGTTAGTGCACTCCGTGCACTAACAAACAGTGAACGGGTCAATGACCCATACAAAACAGACAGGTCAATGTCCTATGACCTACAGTCAACGCCGGGCAATTTCATTTTTCATCTATTTTATTGTCTATTGGCTCTTTTTGCCTATTCTATGGCTTGTTTATTTATGTATGTATATTCAAATGTGTTTTTCTCTCTATCTCTGGTGTTCGGACAAAATCAATATCAGTTTCAGAGCCACCCAATTAAAGGGACCCTCCCACCTTAACATTAGTTTTGAGTTGAGATAGCCAAGTTTGCGGCCAGGCTCAGAAACCACTATTTATCCTGGTCGCAACCCCCGCAGCTTTATGGTGTTCAAGAAATTTCTTCCCTTTACTTGCAGGGTGGGACCAGCGTGGTCCCTATCTCTTAACCATTACGGGAATCTGATGACGTCATCAGGCTTTCGAACGTCCGTTAAATGTTTGACTAAAACGTTTTGTAGCACGCGGTGGTATATGCTGCTTTGCGCGCAACAAATGCCGCACTTTCAAATAAAGTCGCTAGGAACAGCGGAGATCCCAAAAAGTAAACAAAAGTAAAAGTCTAATATCTTGAAAACCGGTGAATATTTTTCGATGAAATTTGGTAGATATTCGTTTTTGCTCTTTCTGAACCGAGCGACATCACTTTCATGCCAATTCATTAACTTTTTTGAAGGTGGGAGGGTCCCTTTAAATACCAGCAGTGAACAATCAACATGTATTGCAGACTTAGCAATGACACAAAACAGTCATCAATACATGTACATATTACATATTCGGCAGTATTGTCTGCCGTGCGTCCATCACATTGACGTGTGCATGCCCTCCAGGGTAGCTCATACGCTCTCCTTGCTCGTCATGTTGAAGTGTATGTTGAATGTACAGCTGTGGAACTCTGTGCCGACCACAGCACCACGACTGATGCTCGCGAGATTCGCCGTGCTTGTGACCGTGAATGACGCACCGCTCTGTACGTCGCTGCTGACCTCGGCTACACTGGCTTTGTGATCTTGACGATGCTTATCACTGGAGAAGTCTGCATTTTCAGTTACGGTCCTTGCCATCTTCCGTTGGACGGTGTCGCATGCCTCAGAGTAGCTAGTGAGACTGTTTACTGACTTATGCCCTGTGAGCTGAGTCACATA